TTATACAAAAAAAATTATTTCAATAACATCATACAAATTAATGTTAGCATATTTTTCAAGTAAGTAATTGATAAAGACAGACTCAACTCAAATATTAAAGAATGAGAAGGACCTAGTAGGCTTAAAGGTCGGCTCGAAGGCCGGTTCAATTAATGAATCTAATTGATAGCCTCTGGCCCCTTTAAAAAAATATTAATATGGTGATAATCTGCATTGTGGTTAAATTAAATTTTTCTAAAATGTTTTTAAAATTTATTTGATCATTTCGCATGCTTATACTTATTGTTATTAAGATAAATATTAATTTATTTTATTGTGGTCGAAACCAATTGAAAATTATAACAAGTTTAATATTTAAAAATTTAAATGATATAAATTGAGCACAAAAGCTTTTAAAAAAAAATCTCTTTATAAATATCTATGCATGAAAATGCTCTTTTCTTTTAATAATTTCTCTAAATGGTAAGTATACAAATTACAAATTAAGGATACTTTAATTATAATTTTTATTTTTTATTTTTATAAAAAAGTATAAATATTAACTTTATTTTTATTACTAATACTATATATATTTTTAATTAAATAATTAATGGAATTAAAGTTTTTTTTTTTACTTTTAATATAAATTAATTATATAAGCAAAATAAATATATATTTAATCTATACCTTACGAGCACAAGTTAAATATTCTCTTCTTTTATAATTTATTTAGTTTAGATTTTAAATTTCTAAACTAAAATAAGTTTTAGAATTGAAATTAATATTAGTTAATGAATCTAATTGGTAGTCTCCTGCCCTTCTAAAAAAATATTAATATGGTGATAATCTACATTGTGGTCAAACCAAATTTCTCTAAAATGTTTTTAAAATTTATTTGATCATTTCCCCTGCTTATACTTATTGTTATTAAGATAAATATTAATTTATCTTATTGTGTTCAACCCAATCGAAAATTATAACAAGTTTAATTTAATATTAAAAAATGTAAATAATCTACTCTAATATGAAAGCTTAAGATCCGCGATCCATGATATCTGTGCATGAAAA